CTTGCCTAGACACATGGACACATGGCTCCACTGGGCCTCTCAGGGGCTGAGAACACTGCATAAGCAAAACTATAATCCCTACCCTTGTGGAGCTTGTCTGCCAGTGGGAAACAACAAATAACCAGTAGTAATAATGATACAGCAAATTAGATGGTGCTGACTACGATAGAGAAGATAAGCTGGGATGATAAATGCTAGAGAAAGAGGCTGCCCAAAGAAACCTCAAAGGATGACATTTGGACAAGTATATGAAGGAAGTGAAACAGTGACCCCGAGCATTTTTAAAGGAAGGACACTGCAGGTCAGTGGTCCAGCCAGTGCCATAGCTCAGGTGGGATGGAGCACAGTGTTCAAGAAACAGTGAAGAGGCTGTCTGGCTGGAGCAGAGCGAGCCCTGAGGAGGATGGAAGACAGACTCGAGGCAGTGAGCTGGCCTTCGCTATGTAGAATCTTGGAGGCCATCGTGAGGACCTTGACTTTGGCTGGAGAGCCACTGCAGGATTTCACAAGGCCAAGGGAGTCGCAGATCTGGTTTCCTGATCTCTGAGGGTGCAGAGACCAGCCTGGGGGACGCACCAGCTGGACTGTTCTTGTGAGTCTTGATGCTGGTGAGGCAGCTGCTGAGGGAGAAGCAGGAAGATTCTGGAATATTCTGAAAGAGACAACAGGTTTGCTGACCCATCCTGTGGCGTGTGAGAGGAAAGCGGCCAGGGTGACCCCGGGGCCCATCGCTCTGTCTAAAGCCTCGTGAGGGTAGTGACACCTGGGCTGCCTGGTGTGGGTTGGTGCCCTCAGGGGAGAGAGTGAGGAATGAAGGACAGGAAAGTTCAGGTACTCTTGTTTTTGAAGCTATCTCTAAGCCTCAAACTTCAAAGAAAGGGACAGGAAAGGAAGGGTGGAAAACACAAAAATCGATTTTCAGACTTATTTTCAAGTTTTCCCTTGTCTTTTTTTTTTTTTTCTCCTTTCTTTTTTCTTCCCAGCCATGGTCTGTTCACCCAGGTTTGTGTGTGGTTGCTCCCTTTCCATCTGTCTCCCATTCTGTGTTGCCAATTCTCAGAATATTTTGTGGCACACAGTGTAATCTGATCGTGAAAGTTTCCTTTTGTAATCTGCCTATTAGAGGCTGGGTGGAAAGATGTGAAGCAATTTCCAAGGGGCTGCTTGAGTTTATTAACAGCAGACCAAAAGCCAAATTCATCACCTTGGGGTGGACAGACCCTCCAAGGGCTGCTCTGCAGAACCACCTGAGGCTTCTGTTTTGTCTCAGAGTGATTTAGTCAAATACTGTGATTGTGGTTGTTTTTTCTAAATTCATTCTTACTCGAGTTAGGCCTCTATGCTTTGATCTTTTCCTTACCACCTCCTCAACACACTCTTCTGAGGACACTCAGCTGGCACTCTTTTGCAAATTTCAGAACAAGTTAAACTATATTAAAATTATGTACTAGGTTTTGACGTAGGTGCCTCACGATTTGAGCAGTTTGCTATTTCTGAGATCTCTTCAGTATACAAGTATCTGTAGCTATATAAAAATACAACACCTTAAAGGCTTACACCACATCAGAGTATGTTTTTTAAGGATGCTTTAATACATGTTAAAAATCACTCCTTTGCTCACCTTGTAAAGCGTCCAAAAATACCTTGATTCTTTAGCACCAAGCACAAAACTACACCGTTATTAGATCCATCCTTCTGTGCCTCCCCTTAGGGCAACATGGAATTTGTGCCTAAAATTTGGAGCTCATGTTTGGAGCATTCCCTGAAACGCAAGGTCTTTGATGCTTCAGTTCCTGCGTCTGGGTGTAGCATCTTCTGCAGCCCTCCCTGTGTGCCCGAAGTTGGAAGATAGCAACCCAAAGGCCACAGCGCCTTTACCCTGAGGTCTCCTTGGATGTTTCTCCTTTGCCTTTTGTTTACAGAGCTCCCCCGGTGCCACACACTGTGACAGGCCTCACACACATTTTCTCACAAAGCCCTGCATGTGACTAGTGAGCCGGTATGCCATTGGAATCCCCATGGAAGAGACGAAAAACCCGAAGCTCAGAATTATCAGAAATCACCTGGCAGGGCCCGTGAACTCTGCTGGAGCTCAGGTCTGCCTGTGCTGAATCAGTCACTGCCCCTCGCATCCCACTTGGTGTTCTCCCAGTAGGTGCTTAGTCCTGAAGCAGCGTGTCTTCCTACCCCAAGGCGCGGGGGTCATTTTGGAGGCCAGGGGTTCTGTACCGGCTTCTGCCATGCTCCTTCCCCGGAGCCTCACGAGGCCCTGTTCCAGCCCCAGCAGTGTCCCTGACCCCAATGAGGAATGAGGCTCCGCCCATCAGCCTGGAAGAGCCTGGAGTGTGCGGAGCTCGGTAGGGGGGCCTGCAGCCTCTGGCTTTCTAGAAAGCAGTCTTCCAGCAAGGATTCCTTTTAGGCCCCAGGCCACCGTTGTTAGCACTTAGCATGCAAAATGGTGGCAGATCATTTTAGTGGGAACAAAAAAGTCAGGAGGAGAGGGTGAATCAAAGTTCAGGAAGTCTCTAGAGAAGACAGCTGCCTCGCCTGCTGCCCTGGGACTATACCCCACACGACCCGACAGTAGCATGCAGAACCCGCAGTGCTGCTGAGAAAAGTAGGAGCGCGCGTCCAGTAAATCCTCCCTGCTGGGTGCAGTGTTTGAGGGCCTACAAAACCCCAATTCCAGAATCGGGTCCTCGTAGATGCTTGGTAAGCCAGCCTGATTTGTGGCCCACTCTGTACTAAAGGTGCTTCCTGTGAGAGGGGTGACCGTATCTTTGCATATTTTGGGGTCCCTTTTTAAATCATTTATCTCGGGCACACATCTAAGCTCTGAAAAGATTCTTGTAACCACAAGCAGTACATGCTTAGGTGGTTTCTAGCAAATATTTTCTCAGCCATGTTTCATGACTATGGGACATTTGGGTTGGGTTATTTCAGGTTTCATTTCCACAGGCTTGTTTCCTCTTTGGAATCCTTTCCTGCTTTATTATTATTTCATATATAATTTTAAAATAGCAAATATTGATCATCTTTAATTCATAAAGCTGCAGAATGATGTGAGTTCAAAGAGTAAGCCTGACACCACAGTAGAATGATTTTGCTTGGAGAAGCTGCGTCTCCAATACATTTTCATGACCTCCTTTATCCTCTCCTGGGCTGAAAAGCACATAATTAGGGACTTCGTAACGTTCTCTTCCACAGTAGCCCTTCCTGTGGCACAGGGCTCCACTGTACCAAGTATCACTCTTCTTACTAATTTTGGTCCTCAGGAAAGACCGGACCGGGCAGCTGGAGGGGCAGCTTGCACTGTCCCCTGCCTCCTCCCTGTGTTCTTCGTCTCGTTTTTCTTTCCTTCTTTGCTCCTTTTTACCCCCTCCTTTTTCTAGTGCCTGGTTATTCTTTCCTTTCTCCTTTTACTACAGTAGTTTACCCAGAGATTAAGTAAAAGTAACCACACTTGGAGCACCTTCCAGGACAGTGAACCTCATGCTGGCCTTCAGCAGTCCTCAAGGAGGGCACTGTGCCCGTCTCCTCAGCCTTCTTTCACATCCCCTGGGCAGCCCAAGCTGTGTCCTGACCTCCTTCTCTCGGAGTAATCCCTTCCCCTTGAGAACACGGCCTGAGCGGACGCTCACTGCCTAGACTGAATGTTCTGTCCTGGAGGCTGCCGTTGTGTGGCAGGGTTCCCTGTTTGTGGCTGATGAAGCTCTGAGCAGAGAGGACCCATGCTATGTCTCCGTCACCACTGGACAGGCCGTGTCCTCCCAGTCAGCTACATGAGTCACCACTGTGACCACACCTATAACCCACATCCGTGAGGAAGGCAGGGCGGTGGGTGCTGACTTGCCCTGTCCCACCCCAGCAGGAGGATCTCCCAGAGAAACATTTTAGTTTGAGTCGGCTTGATTCCATTTGGTTTGGTTTGGATTGGTTTGGTTTAATTTTGTTCTAACTGGAAAAGCAGAATGAGATTCCCTTGTTAATATGCTGCAAGGGGACACAGCCTACCAAAACTGCCCAGTGGGAAAATTGTAGGGGTTGGGGTATTTCGAGCCCTTCATATCTGAATCTAGGCAAGAATCAGTCAGTTTAAAATGAGAATCTTTGGCATCTTGAATGTTTCCAAGGCAGAAAATGGAAGATTAAAAAAGAAAGAGAAATGTGCTGTGTCCCTGCTCCCTGCATCTTTGCATGCCTGTTTCCTGTGTTTGCTGCATGTCTTTGCCCATCGCTTACACCACTAATGAAGAGGAAAAGGTGCCCTGTACTTGTGGCACAGCTGTTTGAAGTGATTACCTTGAGGATGGTGTTTTTCCAGCACCTTTCCCAGAATGTCTCCTCACCAGCATGACCTGCTGTGCTCTCTTGATCATTCTTTGCCCTAAATCTCCAGGTGAAATCAGTTGCCTCCTTGATGCTTTAATTGCAGCTGACTCAGCTCATCTAGAAAGCTCTGACAGCTGTCCTTGACTCGGTTAGCAACTGCAATGTTAATTATGACAAATGCTTGAAAAACAAAGTCAAATCAAAGGACCCTGGGCTTGGCTTTCCTTCCCAGCTCACTGCCAAAGGCTGATCTGGGATGAGCATTAACTCCAGACAAATGGCTATGCCTCCGGAGCAGCTCTCTGTTCGGACTGTTGAGGAACACAGCAGTAGAGGGTGGAGTTTAGTGAGCTTGACGCTGTCACCTATTTTGTGAGCAACTGGGAGGAGAGGGAAGAGGTCCAAGTCCCATCTTTTACCTATAGTCCAGCATCTTGAGGTTTTCAAATGGAGAAATGGGCTAAAGAATCCACAAAGGTAAGAAAATTCTTCCACGCAGGTGGCAGGGCATTTGGGCTGGATGGAATGGCATGGGCGCGGCTTGGCTATAGAGAGGCACAGCTGAGGAATCCACGTGCCCACTTTGCGAGTGCCTCCCATTGGCCCCAGACCTTTCCTGCCTCTTTCTCCTCACTGTGTCTCCTCCCTGCAACTTTCTCTTGCTTCAGGGAGGTTCAGAGAAAAGGCTTCAATTCTCCACAAGATCGCTAAGAAATGCCAAGTGGATGAGAATGAGCAGCAGAACGGGGCAGCCAATCACGTCGGTGAGTACAGAGACCCCGTCCCGAACAGGGGAGGAGGGGCTGGAACAGGAGGCAGAGCCAGTGTGGGCACCCCTGCTCGGAACCCTGCTCATCAGGAAGTGAGTCCCTCTTTCCCAAGGGGGTCGGGACAGGAGCGGACTCAGTATGACACAGTAACTGCAGGAGAAGCCCAAGGACAGCGACGTGATTCTGACCAAGTCCTAACCAGGCCTCACCATTTGGGAGCAGGCAGGACTTCGCTTCGGGGTTCTACACAGAGGAACACACACAGAATCCCCCTTCTTGTAATTCTTGTCTCTTACACCTTTGACACCCCCTAAATTATGGACCGCTCAAGTGACTGAGGTGGCAGAGTCCCTTTGTGTTGAGGCTGCCTCTTCCTCCTTGAGAATTCAGCAGCATCAGGCCAGGTCTCTTTGGCTGACTTTTCCAGAGATCCTGTGTGACCAGATTGTGACATTCAGCATTTTATTTTAACTCAGAACATGATGTTCCTGCTCTCCTGTCTATAACTATAATATAGCTCTCTAATTCTAAATTCAAACTAAATTTAACCTAATCTGGATCTGTGCTATAAATGCAGCTATTGCCCAAGTAACTAAAATTATCCACAGACAAAATTCAACAGTATTGCACTCAAAAAAAACATGATGCCCCGTAGAAGAGTCTTTCCCTCTCTGTTATCCTCATTTCCATCTTAGGGAAACTTATGGACAAGAAACAGTCAAGTTTCAATTGCATGTGAAAAGAAAAACTGGACAGCTAAACTGTTATCAATGGTTGTTTGAATTGGGATTATGGATTACATTTTTTGTCTGCTTCTTTATGCTTCCATGAACTTGGACATATTTTTTAGAATGAGCATATTTGGCTTGTTCATTATGAAAAGATAAACCTATTCCACAACTTCTGTTGCCTAGGATAAGTTTTGCTTGGGATAGTTAGGTTCAGTTACACAAGCTGTTTTTTCTCTTCCACTTGCTTATTTCTTGTGTGGAGGGAAGTAGCTTCAAAGCTTGGATGCTTGGGTTCTTCCCAGTCCTCCTCCTAGTGACTGGGAACCTCTGGCTTGGATTGAATCTTCTATGAGAAAGTAAGATACATAACTCCAACAAGCTTTCCAATGTTGCTGGGTCTGTGAGTGACTTTGTAACTAGAAGATAATATGTATCTAAAATCAAAGCCTTTCAAAGTGCAATCAAGACTTATTTCCATGTTTTCTTTGGTGGTGGGACCTCCAGGGATACGTAAAAGTGCTTCATAAGCTAAGCTGTGCATGTGCAGGTCAGGTATTATGTCCAGTCGGTGGTTTCTTCCTGCTCCTGTCTGCCCTTGGGTGTCTTGACTCCCTTTGGGACCTGGTATCCTATGTTGCTAGGATCAAGCCTGGCAGGCTGATCCTGAGATTGTATTCATATTCCCCAAATCAATGTTTTTCAGTTTAACTGAATCAAACGTACCAAGATAAATTGTCATTGCCACATGCAGCAAAACAGTGCATATATTTCACTGTCGCTGTTAAAAATATAGACAAAGTCCAGTTAAGTTTCTGTGGCTTCCCATATTTTAATCAATTTATGTCTCTCTACGTTACAACTAAATACATAAATATTAGCATTTCCCTGATTTCCAGTGTTTGGCCACTTCAAACACAATTTCTGTGTAACTCTCCAACTATTTTCTGAAATAATAGAATAAACAGAGATGTTTAGTTCTTCTGAAGTTGCTAGGAAAATAGCCTGATCCTGGCCCCGTGTGACACAGGTCAGCAGTGGCTGGCTCACTGCACTCTGGCCTGCGTCCAAGGCCTGGCCCAACACAGTGGGCGTGAGGTTCCGATGCAAACCTGTTATTTCCTCCTGCTGACATCCCAGCTGATCCCTGTGGTAGCTGAGCCCTGATCTGCTGCAGGAGCTTTCTTAGCCCAGAAAACAAAGTCTCCTAGCAGAAGGCAGGGTCTGTGATGGGAATTCCCATAGCTGTCCCTTCCTTGCTTTCTTTGCACCCGGCACTGTGCTCAGTGCTTTCTGCACATCCTCTTGGCCCTTACAGAAGTGCCATCCAGCCCTGCCATGGCGAGTGTCACTATAGGTAGCGTCACACCTGTGCTCATTGTAGTATTCAGCACCACCTCAGTTTCCTAGGTTAGGAAACTGGATCCTGGAGCGGTTAAGTCACTTGCTAAGGACCACAGAGCGCACTGTATAGAGCGAGAGTGTGAACACGGCCCCTTCCACGCCTGTGTCCCCACCAAGTCCTCAGTCGTGGCCCGCGAGTCGCTTCTCAGCTCAGCCCTCTGTCCTGAGCTTAATGGCCTTCAGTCTGGGTGGCTCTCGCTCTCGGTCATGGTGACGCCAATTGTGTTCCTTGCGCTTTCCCTCTTGCCTGGCCTGTAATGAGCACACAGGTGTTCGGTGTGCTGAGCAGCCTTCTCCAGGCATCTCAGGGAGGGCCCGGTTGCCAAGCCTGCCTTCCTGATGGCCAAGTCTCTACTCACAAAGCTGGAGAGAACTAGAGCTAAAAGCAATGGGCTCTGGCACTCAACCAGTCGGACCCACTCATTTCACAGATAAGGGTCTCAACACAGGAAGGAAGGGAGGGCCTTGCCAAAGAGGATGGCCTTGTAGCAGCAGTAAAACCTGGGACCATTTTCCCTGTCCAGTGTCCTTTCCCAGGGGAACCCCAGAAGGTCCGGCAGTAGCAGGGGTGTGGGCCAGGTAGCAGCAGCAGGGTGCCGGTCGGGTCTGGCTCTGGTTTCTCGAGTGCTCAGTTTACCCGGAACAGAGAAAGGCCACCATGGAGCCCATGGGCACTCGGTGACACACAGCAGAGCAGAAGCCAGAGCGCTGCTGGGCATGGAGTGGACGCAGTGTGCTGGGTGCCGTGGGGAAAGGGGAAAAGTCCAGCCTGTCCCTTCACCCCTACTGATTCTACTTGTTTTCCTTGTGTGTGTGTTTATGTCACAGAAAAAATTGAACTCCCAAACAGCACGAGCACAGAAGTTGAAATGACACCGTCCAGCGAGGCTTCAGAACCTGTACAGAATGGAAATCTCTCCCACAGCATTGAGGCAGCAGACACCCAGGTATGGCATTTTCCCGAGGCTCTTCAGGCTACTGCCCAAGCTCATGCCCTAGGACAGCAGTGCGAAGCCCATACCCATGGGCCCCAGCCGCACGGATGCCAAGCAGAGTCTGCTGCTTTGTTGTGTTTCCCAGGATCAAACCATGACCCGGCATGTGGCAAGATCCACATTTCCTGGATGACTAGCATGTTCTCTGAGCCATTGCTTCCACAGTGAAATAGGAGGGTGTGTGTGTCCTGATCCCCGGGGCTGAAAGTACAGGCTCTGAGCCACATCCCAGACCCGATAACAGATCCCTGGGAAGCAGCCCCAGATATTAGCATTTTAATTAGATCCCAGGTGATTCTCAAGGTATGATAAAGTTTGACAGCTGCTGCCATCTAATTCTCTGCACCCTTAAGGTCCTGATTGACAGAAAGCACGGCCATCACACCTAGGCGAGCCCCGGCCTTCTCTAGCTGTGGTAGAAATGAACTCTCTCACCCAAGCCACTGCTCTACCTGGGAGGTGTGACACCCATGCCACTGAAAAAACATCAGCTGTGTGCCACAGATTGGCACTGGCTCTCCTGTGCATTGCCACCTCCCTACCTCACAACTGAAGCTGTGCACTGGGATCTCCACCTGTAGTGGTGCAGGCGGAGCTCGGTGAGGTGGAGCAGTGGAGTGGTATTACCTGGCTCGCGGCGGCAGAGCTGCGATTTGATCCCAGGAGTGACTAAACGGAGTGCCCAGGCTGCTCACCTTGTGACACCGCCTCCAAACCGTGGTTGCTTCCAGAGTGTGCAGACCACGGCGATGCTTGTTAGATTTTGGGTCGCACCTCGTGCAGTGAATCAGGCTTCGCAGACTCAGGGATTCTCAAATTTAAAGGTGCTTAAAAATTCCCAGGGCATGAGAGGCTGTGGGCCATGTTAAAATAGCGGTTTGGAGCAGGCTGGTCTGGAGGGCTGGAGAGTGAGTTCCATGGGGCTCCCCTGCAGTCAATGCATGGGGGAGCACCGGCATTTTCCCGGTGAGTTACGTGGTGCTCACAGGAGCAGTGTGGCTGCGGCCCCGGACCCCTGCTCACCTCTGTACCAGGAAATTGTCTGCCTTCCTAGGGGAAGGGCGCTCGCTGCCCACTGCCTCTGCCCTCATACTCCCAGGTGGGGAGAATCCTCCTGTAGAGGAGGGGATAAAAAGCCCCTCGCACCACTGCCAGCCCGGGTGCCTGCGTGCACCGGGAGCAGAGAAAGTGGCAAGAGTGGCCAGGCCCACATGATGAGCGGCACTGGAAGTGGAAGCGCCGGGACATCCGGCTGCCCAGACTGACGCAGTCACGGTGCGCACAGCCTGCCACATCCCGTGTGCCCCACAGGAGCGAGGGCCACTGACCCTCTTCCAGAGAAGCCATCCCCAGGGCTGGGGTAGAAAGACGGGGCAGATTTGTACACTGGACCAACGCTCTCAGCCCTCCCAGAGCCAGCCCAGACCTGCAGGGAGTTCCAGAGGCACTGGACGAGGTTCCCAACCTCATACTAGAACTTGCTTCTTGGTATTGTTCTGGAAGTTAAATGAGATAATAGGCAGACCACGTAGTACGGAGCAAGATGTTACTTATATGTACTTGCCATTTAAACCCCACTCACGGCGTCCCTTCCGTGAAGGAGCTTATTGTAGGTAAAATGGAAAAGCTTGGAATCTATGCATAACATTTGGTATGTGGGCTAAGAATAAATCAACCAGTCAAAGTTGGGACCTAGGATGAGCATGGAGGCCTATACAAAGCGCTCTGGGAGCCGCTCAAGGAAGAAATGGATCTGAGCTAGGAAAGACAGCAAAACTCACTCCACAGGAGAGGTGACATCTGGGTGCTGATGGATGAGTAGGAGTCTGTCACTCAGAGAAGAAAGAAATAACTGAAATGTCAACATGTGCAAAGGTGCAAAGCCTAAGAAGGAGAATCTTGTTTAAAGATTGGTGGGAAAGATGACCAAACTGGAGAGAATATAAGCTGAGGAGTGAGGGGAGGTCCACCAGGAAAGGTGACTTGGCTCCCATTCCCCAGTTGTTCCTCTGCTCAGAAAACATCCGTCGTTCGTCTGTGTCGGGAAGACAGCACAGGGAGCACAGGGAGCACAGCGATGCCCATGGTCTTGCAGGCCAAGACAGTGCAGACCCAGCATACATCCAGCCATGGCCACAGGGAGCGGCGGAAGGATGCAGGGAGAGGCCCAGGCAGGGGCGGACTCAGGAGTGGACCGGGCTGGCTGGAGGAGCTCTGGGCACAGTGGAGGGGCACAAAGACAGGGTGGACACGGTGCTGGCACCGACACAGGACAGAGCACCACTTCCTCCTGAGCGGCCAGGCCCACCCGTGACTGACACTTCAGTCCTGCAATGGTGCAGGGCATGGGCCCAGGGAGGCGCAGCTCCTAGGTGGGGAGTTGATGGCAGAGACGGCCAGGGACACCACAGAGATGCGGGACTGAGAGGGACAGCTCCCCTCTGCCCTCATCCCTGGTCACGGGCTGGGCAGGACAGGAAGAGCGTGGCACGGTGCCGTGTTTAACAGGAAGATGGCTCTCTGATAGTGGTCAAGAAAGATCAGAAGAGAAAAGGCTGGAGCCAGGAGTCCGCTGAGACACTGCTCCGTGGGCCTGGGCTGGCCTGCAGACTGTTTCTGTAAGACCTGTGAGATGAGAATGAATTTTACATTTTTTAAAAAGAAGCAATAGCAACATATGTGACAGAGACCACATGGACCTCAAAGCTGGAAATATTTACTGTCTGGCCCTTTACAGGAAAAAACTGTCCGTCCCTAATATAGACCATCTGTGGTCTTGAAAGGGAAAGAACAAGGATGTTTCTGTGTACTGATCTGGAATGATCTTCAGTACATGTTGCTAAGTGAAAAAGGCAACACGCCAAATTTGACTTATACTATAGGGAAGTACAGCATACTGTGTTTATACGCTGAAGATGAAATCGGAAGGGAATAACCTGTATTTGCTTGGAACGCTACCAAAGAATCTGGTCTTGTGGAACTCTTCAGAACAGGGCCTGGCTATGGGCGCTTTGGTGAGAGTCTTCAGTGTACTCTGCTGTGGCTATGGATCTGGAGCCAGGTAACTGTGTCATGTATTCAAAAAAATTAACAATGATCGAAATAATAATGGGTTTTTAAATTAAAACAGAAGCAGTTCTGGAGTCCCTGGAGCTGACTTGGGGACCGACATGAGCTCAGACCCCAGCTCTGCTCGCCAGCTGTGTGACCGGCATCTCTGTGCTCCGCCCTCTCTGCAAAACAGGTGTGCACAGTAACACACCAGCCTTGCAGCATTGCCGGGAGGATCCGTTGCTCCTGGAAGTGTTCTGGACACTCGTGAGCGTAGGAGAACTTAATAAAAATCTCTCTTCAGTGGCTGTGAAGCAGCCCAGATGACAAGGCGTCAGGGCCTGTGGCGGTGGGTGGGTTTGAGAGCTGTGCTTGTGCCGGTGTGGAAAAGCCGTGCTAATGAACTGGTCCTAGGAGATGAGCACGAAGAGGAAGCTGTGGCTGATCCTGAGGTTTCTAGGCTGGAAAAATTGGGTGATGGGTACACTAGGTCTGTGGCTCCAGAATGTCTAAAAATGATGGGGTGCTGCAGGTCACCTGAAGCAGTTTCACAGAAAGAGTCAGTGCCTTTTTGTTTTGTGAGCTTGCTTGCTTTCTGAGTTGTGTTTTCATCAAGCTGCACTCTGAGTGAGGTGTGCATCCTGACGTTATTCATGGAAACTCTCACTGCCGGTATTCTCCTAAGGTTCAGCCTGTCTCCCTAATTAACCTGCTCTTTTGAAAACCCTATTTACAAGGAAACTAATCTCATACTGACACCTCATCCCGAGGTGTCTCCAGTACAGACTTTACACTGGCAGAGAGGGGCCTTTTAATGCTCTCATGGAGGAGCAAGCCCCAAGCAAAAGGGTTCTGCTTCGTTTATATATTCTGTGGACACAAGAAGTAACTTGACTTTGTAAACTGCTTAGTGCTAATTCTTTTCTCCCAAACTGTTAAATCACTGTTGCTGATAGAAGCAGAGACGTGATTCCGTGTACTCTTCTGTGGCTATGGATTTTGAGCTGCCGCTGAGAATATACTGACCTTCCCAAACTTTCAGTGGGGAGAACTTAAGTAGGTTTGAAAGACTTCTCAACAAAACATTCTCCCCCACCCAGAATCCACCATGTTCTTACATCCTAACTTTGCCAGTCCAGACAACAACCAGGTGATGGCACTTGCCCACCTGTGCTGTGGCTGCTACAGCAATGAGAGCCCCTAGATTCTGCTCCCAGCTGGAGGTGGAAGAAAAGGTCCCTTGCAATATTCTTGCATTCTGCAACCTGAAGATCTAACTTTTTAAAATTCTGTCCTATATTTTCATGCATCGCAAAATGGCTTTTTATATGTTGTTTCATTTCACCTCAGAGATTTCTCTCTGTTGCTAGGGAATTGTCCCTGCTTTGGTTGAGTCTTTTCTGACTCTTAAAAGGGCTAGGGATATAGCTCAGTGGCACCACACCTGCCTGGCAAGCACAAGGTCCTGTCAGATACGTGTACTTTCCGGCAAATGGATTTCTCTGAGAAAATTGCTTTTCTGGATGGATGGGTGACAGGTGGATGAGGAGAAGCAGAGTATGTACAAAATGTAGACTTGTTCTTATTTCCTCACTTTATAATTCAGATATTACTTTATCACATTAAGGTCTTCTTTTCCTTTTGGGACTCAGCTCTTGACTTCTTTCTTTCTCCCTAGTGTTGTCTTCCCCTAAATTCACTCGATTCTCAGAGACTTGCTTTCAGGAGAGCTCGTGCTGATAAAAATGGCTAAGTGTTATGTAACTAAGTAAAAGATAAGTGGAGAAAAGATGATGGAAGTGACTATGATTTTGAATTTCTCTTTAAAGAAGAATTAAGTGCTTTTTTAAAACAAAACCCTACTATTGAGATCTGAAGGTAGTTCTGGGAAAAAGGCACCA